AGCAGGTCCAGGCTGTCCTCCAGTGCCACATCTGCCTGCAGGGTAGGGATGGCACAGACCTGGGACCCCAGGTGTTTTGGGATCCAAGGGTGTGTCACCCCACACCTGCTTGGCTGCAGCCCTGGTGGGCTGAGCCTTGTGCAGGGACCCTGTGCCCCATACCTGCTCCGCTGCCGTCCAGATGGGCTGGCTCTGCTGTGTCCTGATGATGCCCTTGATTGCTTCATACCAGGTATTGCTGCTGCCGCTGAGGCTGATGGTGGCAGTGAAGAGGTGGCTGCAGTACTTCTTCATCTTGCTGGCCTGGGCATAGAGGCGCCGGGAGCTCTTCCTGGAGTCGGGTGCCAGCCACTGTCGCATGGCCTTGATGCCCTGCCGGCTCTCGGGCTCGCAGAACACCACCACAGGGTAGTACTGCACATAGTTGAGGCGCTCCACAGCTGAGGGCGTGATGTCCAACAGGGCATGCTTGTCCTGGGGCAGGGCACAGCCATCAGCCCTGCTGAGGATGGGGACAGAGACCGAGGCCATGGGCTCCCCCAGGCTCTGGCCCACCCGGCTCAATGGCCATGGGAAGGGTCTCCCAGGCCCTCACCTTTTCTGCGATCTGCCGCACTGAGTCCAGCTTGATGACCTTGGACAATGCCCCATCTCGGGGCACACTTGCTGCAGGGGGCACAGATGTGGCGTGAGAGGAGCTGGGGGAGATGTGGCAACTCTGGCAGCCCCAGGCTGGGTCTGGCCATGTCTGGCCCTGGGGCTGTGTCCCTTAAGGAGGGGCATGTCTGGGGCCTGGCTATATCATGATGCATGGAGAGGTGGTGAATGAGTGCAGGAAGGTGTTGGGGTGTCACAGGGAGGGGACAGTGAGGCAGAATTGGGACAGAGCCACAGGTAAAGAGTTCCCACAGGTCTTAGACACTGAGGGTTTGGCTGCTGGATACAATTTCCCCCCCAACCATGGAGGGCACTTACGGGCAATCTCGAACAGCTCGGGCAGCTCCGTGCTCAGCTTCTGCATGGCAATGTCTGCAATGGGGCCTAGGATCACCACCGGCCGCTTGAAGCTGGCTGTGGGGAGAAGACAGACTAGCTCAGGGAGACAGGCTGAGGGCAAAGCTTGCAGCACCCAGGCATCCAGCCCCACTCCTCAAGGTACCCATGGACCTTGGACTTGCCCCGTTCCTCCCAAGAGAGCGGAGCCCCCTAGCTCCTGCAGTGGGGCAGCCCTGGGGCTGACATCCCCTGGGTGGGTCTGGGCAATGGGGATACAACCCTGGAACCCACCTTCCTTCAGGACCACCCTCTCATATGGTGGGTAACGGCCCTGCTTTGTGAGGGCAGACAGGTCCTCCCGGCTCTTCCGCAGTATCTTCTTGGCTCCCCGCAGGCCCCGCAGCTTCCAAAATTCAGCCCGTGCTCCAGAGGGGTTGGCACTGGATGTGGCTTTCAGCACAGACTCCAGACTGGCAATCTGCTCAGCCCTGAGAGGGGAAAAGAGCTCAAGACCTGGAACCTCCAGATTTACTCCCTGCTTTGTCTCTCTGGGCTCCAAGGTGTGGGGCAGAAGCTGGCATCCCCACTTGGTGGCATGGCCAGATGAGGCTGTGGTAACTAACCTCTTCCCTCTGGGACTTTGGACAATCAGAGCATCAACTGCCCCATGACCCTGAGAAGGGATTTCACTGGCTCACACTTCCCACCACTGCTCTACCAGCCCTTGCCCTGCCTCTTACTGGGTCGACCATCCACATCCCCATTTCACTGGGAAGCCACCCTCCAGCTCTGCTCATCCTGGTGCCATTCCTGGCTCCACCCCTACCTGCTCCGGTTGGGGATGATGCCCTTGTCCTGCTCCTGCAGGTCCCTGCCCATGCGCACAGCCAGCCAGCTCCCCAGCCTGCCCCGGTACATGGTGTCCAGCACATGGAAGACATCCCCACGGACAAAGCTGAGCCCCGACGGTGTGTCTTTCTCAAAGTCAAAGTGTGTCCGGATGTAGAATGAGTCACCCACGTTAGACAAGATCATCTTCCTGTAAACTGGAGTCCAGGGTGAGGGTGCGTCAGAGGAAGAGGTGGCTGAGGAGGAAGGTGCTGGAGCGATTTGGGAAGGAGCTGGGCTGGCTGGAAGCCTCCACAGTGGCCCTGGCTAAGGACGGTGCCAGGGACACCTTTTCCTCCCATGGTTCTCTCGGGCATGCTGCGGAGAGCAGGACCCAACCCCCCAGCATACACTGGCCTCTCCAGGCTGAGGCACGGTGCCAGAAGGCCCTTGTGCTCTGGGAGGCTGAGGCACAACCAGGGCCAGCATGGTCTGGTCCCCTCCCATCGCCTCTCTGGAGGAGGAGAGGTGGGCGTGAGGAAGAAGGACCACCCTGCAGGGGCAGAAAGGGCTGCGGCAAGTCCAGCAGCTCCGATGCTTGCTCAGAAGAGACAGAAGCTGGAGAGGCACCCCAGGAAGAGTCCGGTCATCACTCACTGTCCTGCTTGCTCTGGGTCCGCAGCATGATGTCCTCGCCCGGTGGCAGGCTCATGAGGTGCTCCACGGCCTCCTCACGGGTCAGGTTCTGGAAACTGGTATCATTCACCTGACATGGAAAAGCACTCAGACATAGCTCTGCCAGTGGGGATGGAGGGTGTGGCTACATGCAGGGCTCCCAGGGATGGCAGTGCCCAGGGCAGGGTGGGAGAAGGGAACCAGTCCCTCTCACCCACGTGCCTGCCACAACCCCTGGTAACCCAGGGGAGGGCATCTGGGCCAGCTGAGGTGGTGCCCGGACCCTGCTGGGTGTTCGTGATGTGCTGAAGACAGGGGCATCGCCCCGGGCAGTGCCTTCAGAGCCAGCCCAATAGGTATGGGCCATGGACACCAGCAGTGCCCCTCAACAATGCCCAGCAGGAGGAATCCAAACACAGGGGGTATCAGACCCAAGCGGGATGGGGCCAGACAAGGCGCAGCAGCATTCAGAGCTGTTCCCAGCCCCGGGTACCTGCAGGATCTGGTCTCCTTCCCGGACACCCTGGCTGTCAGCTGGGCTCCCCTCCTGCACACTCGACACGAAGATGCCCACGTCATTCCCGCCGGCCAGCCGCAGCCCAACACTCTTGGCCTTCACAAAGCGCACGGCCCTGGAGTCGGCGCTGTGCCTGCCATGGGGGAAGCTGCAGTCAGCCTGGCAGTGACATGCCGGGGACAGCACAGGGGGCCACCAGCCCTGTGACCCCAAGCTTGTGCCAGAGCAGCTCCCAGTCTCCCGCAGCCCTTTCCCACCACCCCTTGCGGATGTAACCTGTCCTTGCAGGCAGCTTGGGCAGTGGGGCTGGCATGGGGGCCACGGCAGCCATCCCCCTCCACGGCTTCCAGCAGGTCTGCGGGGAAGGAGGGTGGGTCCAGGAGGCAGGCGGCGGCGGACCACT